AACATTGTAAAGCCAGGCTAGATCAATATCATCAACTGTCTGTATATTACAAGAAAAATGACACAGAAGGAATATCACTGAATAGCCGGTGACGAATTGACCGGTTGTATATAACAGATTGACATACTGTTTCAGACGACGTTTGAAATAGAAGCCAAACTTATCAACACAATAGATGTAGTCAGTTGATAACATCTACTGTCCTTTAGCAACTACGACCGCGTTCTCTATTTATTATCTAAATTAGCTCATTCGAAACTAAGTCAATAGACAAAGATCGATGTCCCCCAAAACAAAAATGAATAAACATCTACAAGATTTTCAGCAAGTACTGTTGTTTTTTCAGCTAATTGAAGGGAATTCCGTTACGTACAGTGCATAGTTATTAATCGTTAGTACGAATCATTAGTGAGTGAATCGTTTTTGAAGAGTCTCAATGGTAATAAACTTACTCAAAATACGTGTTTGAGTTAAATGAACAATTAATGATTCAAAATTTGGTATAAGTCCATCGAGTAATATATAAATTGTCGATTGTTTTTAAAATAATTTCCACATGACGAAGATTTTCATGAGATGTTAAAGAGTGATATAATGAAAGGCCATATGATAATTCAATCTTAATCGTATGTAATGATAAGAGCTTTTTGTTAAATAATATTCGACCAATCGATCCATCACATAATTCTTCGAAAACTATCGATTAAAGATAACTGTTTAGTTTCTTATTTATTCTCATTAACTTATTAATCAAAGAATGATAAAATTAACTTACTTAGATCTTCGTTAAACTTATAAACATTAATATGAAAATATTCAAGTCGTGTTAGATAATCGATATAGTTCCTATTAATTTGTTGAATTTCACTTGTAGAACAATTGATTAATGTAAGACGTTTCAAATTGACGAATATTGATTGAATAAGATTTTTACGAAAATAAGTCAAATATCGTTCTGTTAAACAAGTTATATATTCATCACTTAATATTAGTAATTCAGGTTGAAGAGGATTATTAGAATCCTTAAGTAAATGATGAATACAGGCATATTCATCATATGGTATTTTATCAAGTTTTATTTCTGTATAATAATCAATTATTAAACGATGTAAACGTGTTTCAAGTTTTTCAGGTGTATAAAACGAATAAAGAACATCGGCTAGTGATAAATAACGACAAATAAGAAGTAAAATTTCATTTGATAAATCCAATTAAGTAGTTTCATTACCATGAAAATGTTTTAATGATAATAAAGAATTATCAATATCCTTGTTAGCACGTTTCATAATGTTGTTTCACAAAATTTCCAGATGACATAAATGTTGTTTAAAGTTTTGTGTTTGATTATTTGTTTCTATCTAAATAATTACCCAATATCTGCAAGATTTTATATGGAAATAAAAGCATGCTTGGTCGGATCGATTCAGATATATGATGACCTCACTAGCGAAGAGGCCCAATACGACAAGTCTAGGAAGTTCAATCTGACGTGCACCTTCTTTATCTTTCATGGCTAGTCATCTTTACACGGTATATCCTGCAACTACATTCAGACTACGTAGTCCAGATAATTAATGACCGATGTCACGTTAAATAGTCTAAACAGCAAAATGATGCTTCTTCATTGGATATATTATTTAAACTAGTCGAAAGAAAAAGCTACCTAATTACTAGAACATGCGTCTAGTAATTATGCAGACTAGTCTGAAGTATTACCTAAGATCATCGTCAATAATTGATTTTTGAGAATGTACTATCGGTAGATTTCAGACTGATCTGAAATCTAGAAACTATTCATTTAGATTAACTCTTATCGAAAAATCTACAAGGTGTTCGAAAAGTAACACTCTATTATACTCTGAAACAACAAAAGATATTGTTACGATTTTTTCACTATTTTGAAGAGTGGGCTATGCAAGGGGGAAAAAGCTGATTCCGTGATTCCGTGATTCCATGTGATTCTATTGATTCTATGTGATTCTATGTGATTCTATTGATTCTATGTGATTCTATTGATTCTATGTGATTCCACTGATTCCGTTGATTCCACGTGATTCCGTTGATTCCACGTGATTCCGTGTGATTCCATGTGATTCCACGTGATTCCGTGTGATT